TCTTCCGCGGCTCGGACTTCACGTGGGCAAGTCCAGCAGAGTCAGCAGTGGCAAAGACCAAGTTGTCGATGTACACGAGGATGTAGAATGGCGGCAAAGAGGTGTCGGTGCGCGACGGGGCCACTAGGGGCCATGAGGGAGGCCGCTAGAGGCCACGAAGGGGAGTCACATGGGGCGCGACTCGGGCAGGGGCCAAGCGCGCTCCGGGCAGGAAAGAAAAGGTCGGTGGGTCCTAGGAATAGTTCCCATGGGGGAACCTGCTGATACCATGTAAGAATTAGAACGAGAATGATTGAGCTATGAAATAGTTGGGTACAAGTACTAACCCTAATTGGGTTGTGCCCCTTATGGGCTACCCCACTACAACCTACACAGATGTGTAAGCAATCATGTTCTGACACGCAAGACGAGACGCATGCTCACGTCGCTCCGCAAAACCTCCAGTCGGCGTAGTGTAAGGAGAAGGACCATGCAGTGGGGAAGCTAGTTGTAACTGCGGCTGCGAATGGTCAGGCGGCGGATACAGTAAGGGAGGAGTAGGACCAGAAGAAGGCAGGAGACCAAGAACCTACTGAAGGAGTGGAACGAAGTACGGCCTCGGCCGCGCAGCACCTCTAGAACCAGCAAAGACAGCACCAGTACCCCCAGCTCCAGGGTCTCCAACTCCAACTCTTGCAGCACCACCAGCTCCAACACCTCGAGCAGCTCCATCTCCAGCAGCTCCCGCAGCACTAACAGCCTTAGCGCCTCCAGCTCCTGCAGCACCACTAGCCTCAGCAGCTCCAGTACCTCCAGTACGAGCACCTCTGGGACCGGCGCCTCCAGCACCTCCAGCAGCTACAGCACCAGTAGCACCTCTAATGGTAGGCCCCCCGGCTCCAGCAGCATGACTCCAGCGACGAGCAAACCACTCGCGCAGCAGCGGTGGAGAGAGTGGCTCCCGCCATGACAAGATACCCGTAGGACCTCCACACGAAGAAGTACCTCCAAGCTCAGCACGCTCAGGCTTAGCACCCCCAGACTCTGCATGCTCAAGCTCAGCACCCTCAGGCTCTGCACCCTCAGACTTAGCACCCCCAGGCTCAGCACCCCCAGGCTCTCGGCGCGCAAAAGCTTGTCCACGGAAGAATCGCGGACAAAAGCTAAAGATCCCCAGACACGGAACGGAGACGCATCGCCAACCTTCCCCGTCCACCGCAGAGTAAGTATGGTCTCCGGCATGGAGACAAGTGGCAGGAGGTTGAGCTGATGCGCAGCGTACTGAACTGCGAACGGCCATAGAAAACGGGGAGTAGCCGCATGGATCATGGACGTACGAGCAACGTCCATGACCATGCCAATGCGGCGCTCAGCAATCCCATTTTGCTGTGAGGAGACCGGAAGCGTGAAGGTCTGGCGGATGCCGTCCACACGACAGAAGGCTTGCAGAAGGTTGGAGGAAAACTCTCCACCTCGGTCAGAGTGCAGACGCAGAACAGGAATGTTCGAGTCAAAACTCTCGCTGAGCTAGCCACGGGCAGCGCGGATCCAGATGATCAGCACCTCGGTGACCTCACCCTTTCGACACAAGGGGAAGACTGTGGTGTAATGCGAGTAGTCGTCAACGACCAGCAGAAAGTAACGCTCGTGATCCTGTCCACGGACGCGGGTTGGGCCCCACGCGTCCATGTGGAGAGTCAGCAGGGGAGCCTCCGTCGAAGGGAACTCAGAGAAGTGAGGAGCGGGGCGCTGCCGTCCTTATACGCAAGGAACGCAGGTAGGGGCAGGCCCCAGGGGGAGGGGAGGGAGAGAACGGGGGAGACCAGTAACAAGGACATGGGAGGCCATACCTCGGAGTCGAGGCAGGGAGGGGTGACCAAGGCGGTGGTGTTAAAGGAGATTTTGGTGTGACAGGAGACGACACGAGCAGGGGGCAAACTCCGGACCAGACGTGGACGCGGCAGCAAACATCTGACTAGACTCAGCAAACGGAGGAGACATAGCAGTCAGTGTGTACAGGCTCGACCGAGGCCGACGGGTGAACGTGGCCAGGTGGCGGCCTGTCCGAGTATACGAACAGTGGGTAACCTGCTGACCTACAGGAGTGAACTGGTCAACCCACACATCCTAGAGGTCAGCTCTACTCACCAAGTTTTTTGAGAACAAGGGGAGGTGAAAACCCGACAATGAGCCAGACGGGACCACTGGACACGGTAGAACTGTAGAGGAGTGTGCAAGGACTGGGCCCCAAGAGGGGTCCGCCAGGGAGACAGCAACCGGTCGACTGAGCGGCGTAAGTGTGGTGGTGTCGCGAAAGAAGGAGCGGGAAGCACCATAGTCCAGCGTGAAGGTGTGCAAGGCCTCAGCAAGGCAGTACCTGAGAGAGCAGACTCACTAGTACTTGGAGGAGCAGACTCACTAGCACCTAGAGCAGCAGCCTCTATACCTAGGTCAGGCAGCATACACAGGTAACAGTCACCCTTAGCACTTATAGTCACAGCATACATGGCAGCAAGAATAGCATCGTAATTAATATCAAAGATTGCAATACCAGACTTAAGCAGATCAACCCAGCGAGGGAGCTCTGTGGCGTCAGGAAATAGTGCACGCCAGGCATCAGATAGGCAATCGAAACAACGCTGCGTTGCGTGTGGCAGCCCGCACATCTCCCCACGGAGCTCGCCGGTGCGGAGAACGTAAGCGCAGGGACCAGCACCCCAAGACCTCCCATGCCCTGTGTACCAGTCACGAAGCTGCTAGGGCAACGGGGCCTCACGCGAACATGACTACTGCTGTCGCTGGCTACCATCAAAGCCTCCACGCTACGCGGCTCCACCCCGACCAGCACTACCGCCGCCGCCACCTCCACTGCCGCTGCCGCTGCCGCTGCCGCCCCCACCTCCACCGCCGCCACCGACGCCCCCACTCCCGCCCCCACGTCCACCTCCACCCCCACCCCCTCTACCTCCTCCACCGCCACCAACGCCGCCCCCGCCGTCCCCTCCACCACCGTTGTCCCCCTTGCCCTTGCCGCTGCGGCGCCTCCCACTAGGAGCAGACGCAGCCCTGACCTCCTTGATGCCAACGAGGTCGACAGCAGCAGCAGAAGCAACAGAGGGCAAAAGGGGAACGGGGTAACACCCCTCAAAAAAAGGGGCGCGAGGGTCGCCGCGAGAAGCTCGTACAGCAACTATGCTAGTCTCAGATGCAGTGAGGCGCTCCTCGAGTAGGTTGACGGTGAGCTCGGTGTGGCAAAGGGAGAGAAAGTGGTCCCTGACTGAGCGAAGAGAGTTAGGGAGACGGGTGACGAGGTAGAAGAGGGTGATGTACATGGGGGGGGGGAGGATTTTGGCGCGAAACTCGGAGGGAAGCGCAGCGGTGTAGCGGGTGTGACTAGTGCGGAGGTGAGTGATGAGGTCAGCGACTGTGGCAAAGGTGGCCAGGTCAGGGAACAAGTACGGCATCATGAGGCGACTGAGGGCAGCAGTGGCAGGGGAGGAGTAGCGTGCGACAACGACATCATACAAAGACTTAGCAGTCTTGTACTGGCCAAAGTGCGCGCGCTCAACAGACGGCTGGTGACTACAAACAGCAAGGCGAGCAACAGCGTCACGAGTAGTCCACTGCGAGCGAACCGTACTGTCAGCATCGGAAGCAGGTACAAGAGAGGCGCCGAACGTGTGATCGAAAAGCGAGACTCTGTCCCTAGAGTTGCATTGAAGGTTGAGCTGCAGGTCATCTACCCAAACTTCGAAATCGACCGCACGACCCTTAGCATCGAAGGTAAGAACAGTAGGGCTAGCCATGGCGGCAGTAGCAACAGTAGTAGCAGTAGGGCAGGGCGGCGCGGCTCGGCAGGGCGGCGCGGCTCGGCAGAGCGGCGCGACTCAGCAGGGCGGCGCAGCTCGGCTGGGCGGCGCGGCGCGGCAGGCAGGCGGGCGCAGCGGCGCACTTGGCAGGGCTAGCGCTTACCAGTGGCGGGTGCAGTGCAGGGCCGCGACTGGCGGTTAGGGCGGGGCCGCGACGAGGCGGCAGAGCAGGGCCGCGACGGGGCGGCAGCAAGGTAGGGCCGCGACAGGGCGGCTGCATGACAGGGTCGTGACGAGGTGGTAGCAAGGCAGGGCCGCAACGGGGCGGCAGCAGGGCAGGGCCACGACAGGGCGGCTGCAGGGCAGGGCCGCGACGGGGCGGCGGTAGAGCAGGGCCGCGACGAGCGGTTGAAGGCACGGCCACAACGGGTGGTGGCAAGGCAGGGCCGTGATGGGCGGCTGGGTCAGGCCGCGACTGGCGGCTGGGTCAGGCCACGACTTGCGGCGACAGGGCAGGGCCGCGACGGGCCGGGAGGGCAGGGCCGCTACGAGCTGCAGTAGGGCAGGGCGCGTGACGGTGTAGGTGAGGCAGGCGCGAGGCGTGCTTCGGGCAGGGTAGGAAAAAAAAAAATTATCGTGGTGGGGTCTAAAAGAAAACGTTCCCACTAGGGAACCTGCTCTTAAACCATGTCAGAAAGTAGAAATCAAGAATGACTAGAATGACAGCAATACAGGGTTTGTATATGCAAAACCTAATTGGACTGTACCCCATAAGGAGTGCTCCACTACAGCCTACAGCATATAAATTATTAGTTCTGACATCGTTATCATATCCATTTAATTCTGAGGTTATTTCAACAAGCACCGTGATGTAGACTCTGCTTGAAGTAAGCAGATTACATCGATTTGTGTCATATTTGTATTGGATGTTTATGCCACAAAGAGAGTTAGGGGAGCTGTTATAATACACATTCTAGATTAGTCGACAGACCAACACTCTTTGACAGCGTAATGAGCCTAATAATGGTGGGTCAATCCAAAAAGCCAACAGCGTACCCGCCCTCCCACAAAGATTCCTGTCCCCTCACACCTTGTGCGATCCCCGTCCCATTTGCATCAAGCCCAGCTTCCCTGCCGCTCGCATGCTACGAATCGTGAAATCGCGCCACTCGGTGACTTCGCACCCCCCGGCGCCGCAACGGTCGCACCGGCATGCACGCGACGCGCTCATGGGACGCGCACGAGCAGTCGGAAGGCCCCTCGCCGCTCAAGATGCTCCGCGGCTACCTTCTCCGCTTGCGCCACGCCGGCCCGCTGCCCGCGCGCCTTGACCCCTACCGGCGGGGGTGTGCGCCGGGGGGGGTGGCGGGCGGAATGTGGGGGACGGTGAGGGGAGAGGGAGGCGGAGGGGCCGGGGAAGACGGGGGAGGGGGGGAGGCGTGGGGAGAGGACGTCGTGGGGCTGTTTCGGCAGCTGCATGAGGAACATGCGAGGAACATTCCTCTGGACGTGCTCTCGTGAGATGCCTTCCTTTTCAGCAAGTCGTTCCCTTCCACCACCGTCAACACCAACCCGCTCCACCCACCTCACCCCCGGCCCTCGCCCGCATACCCGTTTCTCGCGCATCGCCAATGCCGTCTGCCCTCCACCCCGACCCCCGCCGCCTGCAGCGTGTTGCGCGGATGGCTGCTGTGTGTTCTCACCCACGCTCAAAGTATGGCGCTTGTGTCTGCTGTGTGGCGCTTGTGTCTGCTGTGTGGCGCTTGTGTCTGCTGTGTGGCGCTTGTGTCTGCTGTGTGGCGCTTGTGTCTGCTGTGTGGCGCTTGTGTCTGCTGTGTGGCGCTTGTGTCCCGCGGCTTCCATGCGGCATGAAGGCCCGGTGAGGCGGACAGCCCTGCCGCGCTGGACGTGCGGGCGATGCACTTCAGATGCCATGCTGCACGCACTCTGTCGCTCACGCCTCCTGCGCCCCCCTTCCCCTCGCGTGTGTGGCGTGCCCACTGCACTGCATGCAGGCCCGTGGCGGACAGCCCTGCAGCGCTGGGCGTGCGCGCGCTGTACCGCAAGATGGTGTGCTCTCAGCGCGGGGGCTCGTGCTTCCAGGTGAGGGGGCTCGTGCTTCCAGGTGAGGGGGGCGCACGGGAGGTGACGCCGCGACGGGTGTGAGGGGCATGCTCGCATGAGGCGCGGACATGGGGAGGGCGCGAAGTACGGCAGGGAAATGCATGTTGCGATGCTGTGATGTTGATGATGCTGTGATGTTGATGATGCAGAAATGGCGAGGGAGTCTTCGAGAACGCCACATGCTGCTCGTCGCTCGCAGCATATCACCATATCCCATTGCCTCACCCTCACCGTCCTGCCTCACTCACCTCTCCCGCACGCCAGCTTGCAACACTCCTTCCCGCTTGCACCTACGCCCTCGTCCTGTTCACCCACGCCACACCGCAGGGCCTGTGAGGAGCTGTTAAGGCCGCGCAGAGCACCACGGGCCCCCGTAAGCTGACCCCTATCCAATCACCGTTCCTTCCCACCCCCCCCACCTCCTGTGTGCGTGCACGGGCAGTCCAACGTGCTGTTGGCGTGGGTGCTCCGCCACCACCTCGCCTGCCAGGTCGACCTCCTTCCCGCCCTCTCCTGCCACTCGCCACACTCGCCCCGCCACCACCACTCCCCTCCGTCCTCCTCCTGTCGCTCCTCTCGTCAACCACCTGTACCGGCTGCTACTTTGAATGCTGCCTCCCCTGCAGCGGCGCCATCGTCAGATCATGCGGCTGCCTGCGTGGCTCGCCTCTCATCTCCTGCTGACTCAGCGCAGCAGCCTGTCCAGTCAGCTCGTGCAGCTGCCTCATCAGCAAGTGCAGAGCTGGCAGATCATGTACGACGTGAGTGAGCCATCTCACTCGGTGACTTGGCTCTTCCTATCCCGTACTGTCCTGTACCCACACACCCACCCACCCACCTACACACCCACCCACCCACCCAACGAACAACCCACCCACCTACTCATGTGTTTTCATTCATGCACATGCCCTCTCACCATGCGTTGTCCTACCACCCCCCATTCCTTCCCCCCTCCCGCATGCAGATGTGTCTGCTGGTGCACATCAACGGCATGGCATGGCTCGCTGACGTCAGCACGCCCTGCTGCCCCAGCAGCCTTTTGCCCCACCCCATGTTCCTGGAGCCACTGCTCTTCCAACCCGCCATCCACCAGGCAGGCCCCTCCTTCCCCTCGCCTCCCATCTCCATTCATTACACACGTCCCTCCATTCCTTGCTGTGATGTGATGTGCGATTCCCACTCCCACCCATTCTCTCTCCTCACCCAAGCGTTTCCTCTCCATGCCACCTCTCTATCCCACCACCCCTCTCCCCCACAGCACCAGGACGCGGGGGTGTACCGCATATCCCCATGCGCCCCGCCCCACCCGCCAGCACCTGCCGGTGCAGCCCCTTGGGTGCGTGGACGAGGTGCGGGGGCTGTCAGTGTGGCGCCTGCATGCACAGCAGACGGCTGGGAGAAGCCAGTTGCAGCAGTAGCAGCAGCGGACAGGGGCAGGGAGGGATGGAGGGCAGTAGAAAGAGGCGTGCAGGGGTGGGCAGTGGAGCACGTAGAGGCAGGAATGGATGGGCGCATGGGTGAGAGGAGTGCTGGCGGGGAGGCACATTCAGATTCAGACCCCGATGATGATGATGACTTCTACACGGAGGGTGTGCGTGGCCACGGGACACCGTGCCCACCGCGGCTCACGCATGCTGCAGGAGGACAGGCAGCATCAGCAGCAGCGGTGAGGGCAGGCGAGCAGTGGTATGTGGTGGAGCGGCTGTGCCGCGTGGGGCCCAGTGAAGCAGGCGAGAGATGGGCAGCAGCAGATGGCAAGCAGGCAGCATGGGGGAAGGCCGCTTGTGAGGAGGAGGCGCAGTGGCAGCCGCTGTATCGCTTCTCCTCGTGGCCGCATGACACAGCTCACTTCCTCCAGGTGCTCCCACCTCGCCCGTCGCCTTCTCGCCTCGTTCCCTCCTGCCTGTGCCATGGAGTCATGCACAAAGCAAGCTTGCCGGGGCACCAGCCCTTTCACAGCTGCATGCGCGCCTCTATACCAGCCCCTGCCACCCGCTGCTTCTAGCCAGCCCTTTCTCCTGCCCCCTCTCTTCCTACTCTGCCCTCCCTCCCACCCGCCGCTCTCTGCAGTGCATGCGCCATGCCTCGCCCCTGGGCGGGCCGCGTGTTGCGGTGCGCGTGTGCAGCGAGGGGGAGAGGGAGGTGGAGGGCAGGGGGGTGATTCGCGAGATGATCCGCGACCGCCACTTGCTGCTGCTGGATGGCGAGGGGCGCGTGCAGGTGAGAGAGGCGGGTGCAGGTGAGAGAGGCGGGTGCAGGTGAGAGAGGCGCGTGCAGGTGAGAGAGGCGCGTGCAGGTGAGAGGCGCGTGCAGGTGAGAGAGGCGCGTGCAGGTGAGCGGGGCGAGTACGTGGGGGGGTTGGTAGTAAGGCAAGTAAGCGGGTAAGGGTGAGGAGGGTGCAAATATATTGCGATAGTGAGCTGCTGCTGCAGGTGTTGGAGGGAAGGAGGGCCGAAGGTGGATGCTGCGAGTACGTGTTTCCATGTTGTTCACCTTCCTCGCCATGGAACCACTAGGCCATGTCTCCTCACTTCCTCCCTCCAAAAGCAAATCCTTTTCCTCTCTCGCTCTCTCTCCCATCCCCAACGCCTTTCTCTCATCCACTTCATGCGCGTGCATCCCGTTTCTCCCGTGATCAGAGTCAGCAGCAGCTGGCAACAGACGAGGAGTTCGATGCGGTGGTGAGGGGCCGGTTTGGCATTCGGCTGGGGGCAGATGATGTGAGGGCCATGCCTCCTGTGCCCAGGGAGCCGCCACTTGGCGACGTGTGGTTGGCCAGCGAGTGGTGAAAGTTGCACGATGTTGGACTGCATTGTGATGTGAAAGCCAGGCAGATGTGCTGATGTGATTCCCATTGACCACTCCAGTCCGTTGCTACCAATTGCTGATAATCTTCATTGTGCATTGTAATGTGAGACGAGATGCGCACAGATAGGAGAACGCAGGGAGTGGGATGCAGGAGTGCGTTTGGTGGATGTTGTAAGCAGTCCTCACCTCAAATTATAGAATCCGTCGTATAGTTTTCCTAACAATGTTATAAAGCTGTTTTTTTTCTCCAGCAATTGCCAAACGTTGTTCTGTACCGCATTCCACCCCTTCAAGTGCATTGCTTGCCCACCTTTGCGAGCCGCGCAGAACACTACTTCGGCGTTGGCGGCTGCCATTTGCTGACGAGGCATGGACGGAAGTAGCTCACGCGCATACTCCGCTTTTCTGTTGCAGTGAACGGTGGCTGCTGCTCGCGTGGCACCAGGATGGCGGGAAATTTTTCACGTGGCGAATTTTTTCGCCGCAATTTCCCCGTCAGCCAAAATCCGAATATGCAAAAGGCATCTTGCAAAAATGCCCACTCGCCACCACACCCTTCCTATCTCCAGACAGCAAAACCTACCAATCAAAACCTATCAATCCTCCACCTCAACTCTCCTCCTATCCTCATCATCTTTCTGATCCCATTATCCACCAATCAAACAAAAGATTCCATACCAAGCCTTCCAATCCAAGCCACATTCATTCCACTCACCAAGCCTTAAAATCAAAGTCAAATACATCTCATTCACCAAGCCTTAACTTCAAGGCCACATTCATTCTCTTCACCAAGCCTTCAAAGCCACATTCATCATCCCCATCTTATCCAACTCAACCAATCACAACCATTCATCCTTTCCTCATCCTTTATCCAACATCAAGCTCCACCAAATACAAAAGGGTCCTCTTCATTTCTTCAAACTCATATTCTTCAATGCTACTTCATACCCAAACTCTCAACAAGTTCTTGAAGCTCCCTCAAGGCCAACCTCAAGTCCTCCTCCTTATGCTCTAGCTCCTAAGGCTTCATCATCACCACGAACCTCTCCCAACCCAAGCTCATAGCCATATGCTCCAATTTTAGAGAAGTTTGTGCCACATAGTTTTACTTCTAGATCATCAAGGATACCGTAATCTCCCGGATAGTAGACCCTAGGGTCTTGTGTAAAATTCATAAAAAAAAATAGGGGGGGGTCTTGTCAACGGCACAAGATTGTTTAGTACCCGGGTCTTATTAAATTGATATGATTTTTAAAGGTGTAATCGAGTGCCTCATTGATGAGGATGCTTGACATTTTTTCCCCTGTTGTTTGGGCCGCACATGTGTGCGACTTCTGCGATGTAGCCATATCACACAGGGGAATCAGCTTGTGGCCTTCTCATTGGCCGAAATCGCACGTTACCACATTCCAGCATTGAGATTCGCTTTGTGGCTCGTCAGCGTGCCATCCCACCTCGACACCCTGACACATGCACGGCTCGAGCGCAGGGGCTGCACGATGGCCCGTGCAGCAACCCCTACTGTTCAACGGGAGGCACGTCAATCCTTTCACCCATCACAATCCTTCTCCTCCGCCTGTTTCTTCATCCACGCACGAAACTGATTTCTGCTCGGCAGAGTGGTGCGCTTAGGGCCCGTAGCTCTAGGATGGTCGTCTTAAGATGGGTGGAGGAAGTACTTTGAGCAGTAGCTAGAGGTGTAAGCTATCATTCACGATGGTGACGTCTCCAGATTCAGGGATGTCGCACGCAAGGCGCCCTCGTCCCACTAGCGTTAATCGAGCATCGCAAGTACGAGTTGTCAGAGGTCCACTGGTGATCCCCGATTGATCCTAGGGAAGGGTTACAGGCACGTTGGCCTGGGGGATTATGGGCGCACTGACCCGCTACTTAACAAGCCCTTTTATCCCAATGGTCTAGTGGTTGGGATTCTGACACGAGTTTCACCCCGGCCCGTTTTGCCAACAACTTCACCTTCCTCCAGCGATCCTAGCGACAGTTCCCATGGCATTCGCCGACCGCCGCTTCCTAGAGTCGTGATCCCTACTTTTCCGGAGTCTAGTCGCCCGCAAGGCATGAAACGAAGGATTCTAGATGCTGCGCCTCCTTCCCCTCGTCATAGGATGACGAAACGCTCTCGTAACGCGTTCACCGCCAAGGAGAAATTGCACTGGCTGGCCATGTTGGAGTCATAGCCTGACCTCAGCATCCGTGGCTTGGCGAAGCTCGCCAAGGTGCAGCCCAAGCAAATCCGCGAGTGGAGGCGACTCAAGGAGCGTCTCGAGGTCGCCGCTGGTTGTCGCCGACGTCTTAACGGTGGAGGGCGTAGGGCGAAGTGGCCCCTGATGGAGAAAGCGGTTTACCGCCAATTCTTGGCGCACCGTGCCAAAGGATTGGCGGTGTCGGTGAGCCTTCTCCGCAAATGGGCAACTCAGTACATGAAGTACCGTTTGCCTACCGCCGATTTTCGCGCATCGGCACGTTGGACCTTTCGCTACCGCGTGCGGTGGTCATTAGCGCAACGCGTGAAGACAAAGATGGGGCAAAAACTAGCCGCCGGTGAGCAAGTTGCATGTCACCCCCCCTTGCCGTAACGGTTTACGTAAAATGCTATCTAACACATGTGTCGTTGTGTGTTTAACAGATTGCAAGGGAAAGGTGGAGTCCTTCTGGGAATTCGTCCGCCAGATGCGCATGGTTCATCGCTTTCCCCTCAACCTCATCATGAACGCTGACCAGACCCCGCTCTGGTTGGAGATGCCGGCAGAACGCACCCTCGAAATGAAAGGCGCCCGCACGGTGCATGTCAGGACGGCGGGGTACGAGAAGGAGCGTGTCACTGTCATGTTGGCAGTGACGGCTGACGGCCTGAAGCTTCCCCCGTACGTCATCTTCAAGCGGAAGACGGTGCCACGAATCGTGGTACCACCAGGTGAGCCCGATGTGTTTCTGTCGTTGATTCCTTCTGTTCCTCTTGTTTCTCCATTACTGATTTCCAGTTGTGGCGTGTGCAGGTATCGTCATCCGCGCCCAAGAGAAGGGTTGGATGGACGAGCGCCTTGTCCAGGATTGGACAACACAGGTGCTCGTCCCCTTCTTGAAGCCGTTGCGGGACGAGGGCGGGCGGCGCAAGCAAGCGCTCCTTGTCTTCGACTCGTACAAGGGGCACCTGACGGAATCTGTGGGGCAAACTCTGAAGATGTTTAAGGTGATGCGTGCCGTCATCCCTGGCGGTTGCACCCCCCTGGTGCAACCGCTTGACGTCTCCATCAACCGCAGTTTCAAGTGCGGTGTTCGCCACCGCTACAGCACGTGGTTTGAGGAGGTCGGGATCGGCCAAACGACACGTGTAGGTGAGTCGTGGTCGATTTGTGAGCTTTAAGATGACTAGTCAGCATTAACTCCACTGCCTTTACATCTCTGCTGTGCATTCTTCTTGTGAACTCCAGGGAACTTGAAGAAGCCCCCCCCTGAAGTGATCCTGAAGTGGATCGTCGAGTCATGGGCTGATGTGCCAGAGGAGCTGGTGAAGAAAGCTTTCCTCACCTGCGGCATCTCCAGTGCCGAAGACGGGAGCGAGGATCATCTGATCCTGGCTCACCTACGGGACAAGGCGGAAGTGGAGGTGCTGGAGGATGTGCTGGACGAGGGGGAGGACGGGGTGAACCCCAACCCGTTCTACGAAGACCCCTCGCACGCCCCTGAGCCCGCCGCTACCAAGGACGATGAGGCAGAGGACGAGGAGGAAGGGCTTGCAGGGGAGGAGGATGTGGTGGATGCTGCTGCCGAGGAAGGGGATGTGATGGCTCCGGAGGAGGAGGGGGATGAGGCAGATGCAGAGATGGGAGGTGCGGACGAGTGGAGTGAGGATGGAGACGACTGGTGGGCAGCAGGCCGCTATGAGGGAGAGGAAGTGGAGGAGTGGGTTGCAGGCAAGGATGAGTGACTATTTTTATGTTGTTCTCACCCCTTGTTGCCCCCTAAATCTCTGAAATGCAAACCGTGAATAGGTTGCATTGGTGTCAAGCTTTTCTTGCTAGTGAAGCACTTGAAAAGACATCTTATTTCCATTATAAACTAGTGACAACCATGAAGGGGGTCTAGTAATGTTTACCCCTCTAGGGGGGGGTATAGTGAAAACCTGCCAAAATAAAAGACCCACCCCCGTAATACAGACCCGGGGGTCTTGTATTCCGGGGGGTCTATTATCCGGGAGCTTACGGTAGTTGATCTAAAGGTCCAACTATGTACCTCTTTTTGATCAATGTACTTTCAAGCTTCAATCAAGGTTGGTGTATTCTTCTACCCAAGGTCCAAGCTCCAACCTGAACATCCAAGCTTGGAGGTTTCTCTTCATTCAACAAACATTATCTACGAGTCAACATTCAAGATCAACTTCTCAACATTCAAGCTTTGAGGTTCTTCATAAACAACTAAGACAACATTTAAGCTTGAAGTGAAGATCAACTTCTACAACATAATAGTAAGAACTCTTTTCAAGTAACTGGTTATCTCTTCATCTCATTTTTCACCAAGTTTCTTTTACATCAAAATTCATTTGCTATTGTCAATTTGTTTTATACTTAAACTCTTTCCATAATAATCAAGTTCTTATTTTCAAGTTCATTACAAGCTCCCTTCAAGTATCTTTCAAGCCCTTTACCTTTTCATCAATACTTTCTTTTAAGCCAATCTTGTTTGTGCGAAGAATGAGGAATGAATGAACTAGCAAGCAGGTGGACACAAGTAGGAAAACATAAAAGTGTTGTACCCCATATTGTCTACCCCACTATAGCCTACAGAGACTATAGTATAAGAATTTGACACACCCCCATCGGCAAAGTGGGGGAGAACAAGAGGTCACAAGACCAGTCAAGCAAAGCAAAGCAAGCTCACGGTGGATCACAACATCACCACCCAGTCCGAGCACAAGAGCAAAGCTAGAAGGCCACTTCACATGCAAGATCATATATAAAGGTAA